GGACATAATTACTAACTACTACAATTTCATATGTAGATTTCAAAAACAATAAACAGTTCAAAGAAAAACAAATACGTAAGTCAAGATTGTGAATGCTTTATATTACTATCTAAGTAAGTTGTGCAAAATGCCATATATATTTGATTAATTCAGCAATTCTATGGATGCAGAATTTCAAATTCTGAATTCTCAGAGAACACATTTTTACATTGTTCAGAAAAAGCACTGCTTTCTGGATTCAGCTAAATGCATAAGTTTGACTGTATCCATGTCAAACAACTTTATATTTTAACATTTTATGGTCACATCAGTTATAATAGCTTAAAAAATTGTGTTTTGAGATACAGGCTACTTGAAAATAGATGCTGAAAAAATCGTATTCGGGTGTAGACCTCCAGTGCATATCCTTCTGAACACAGCACTGGAGCTTATTTAAAGAAGTTAATAAGATAATATTAGTGGTATAAATGTCATCTTCAGTATGGATTGTTTGTCATACAAAGACAGATTGTTAACTTAGTTAACTAATTCTTGAGGGAACAGTGATCAACTAATAATGAGAAATTTGAAAGAATCTTAAAAAACTACAGTAATCTTTTTTTTCATTGATTTTATAATTCTATTTTTAACTTAAATGTTTTCTTTAAGTATTAAATAAAAATAAATGAATCTGAACTTTTAAACAAATTTATAATTATCATAATTTGACTAAAAATATTCAATGTTCATCAACAGAAAACTGCTAGGTTCATGGAGGTTAAAAAAAACATTACTTAGAAGTGCATATATAAACATGTAAGAAACTTTTAAAACTTGTATCACAATTCCTGTTATTAACTTAAGATATTTTCCATAAATTATAAAAATGTAATAGTTTTCAACAAAATCAATTTACAACTGAATGGTTATTTCATGTCCTCTATGTCATCAGCAGTTGCATCCTTTTCCATAAGCAATGTAATCTTACCTAGAAAAATGAACCTATTTGTGATATAATAATGAAAAGAAATGGTTAATGCATAAAGTAAAATTGGAATAATGTATTGCATATAGTTTCAGTTAAAATACAACTAAGCTTATAAATGACACAGAATAAACTGTGAAAACTGAAGACCTTTTTTGAGTAGTTTGTTCAAAATAATGCTTTTTCCAAACTTCAGAGTAATTGGTCAAGCATAAAACAATGAAAAAATGTTCTTGAGTTAGAAACAGTACTAATAGGGCTAAAAGTAGTGGATTTGATTATAATGAGCAATTATAATTATGTAACAATTTCAGCCCCTGGCTTGTGCAGATGAGGAACTGCGAAAGAAAATAAAAATGAAAGGAACATATAGCGATGATAATAGTTACAGGTGTTTCTTTAGTACAAAGTAGATAGACTGTGAGGCAAATAGGTAGGAAAGGAATAGATTATGCTATTCAGGGACAGGACTGGCGGATATAACTGACATAGCATATGATATAGTAAAAAGTGCTAGCAATGATGCAGTCTTTGTCATGCACATAGGGGTTAATGAAGAAGAGAAGGGTAGGTCAGAGGAGCTAACTGATAAGTACAAGGAGTTGAAAAAGCAAAGTCACTTACAGTAACTTGTGTATCATAGTTTCATTATTTGAGGACTTAAGTGGAATTAAAAGATATAACTGTATTACTGTATGCAAAATATATTTCAATGATAAGTTGTTCTGATCTCTATAATAAGTTTTCCTAAAAACACTGAACTTAAAAAAAGGAAGATTTAAATACAGTATTAGTTGCAATACAATGCTATGTAAAGTATTGATTAATTTTTTTTCCCATCTGTAAAAAAATTTTTTATAATATTACAAAAGGAAAATTGTTTGAGTCTCACAAAGATATACCTACAGCAGTGACATATCTTAGCTACAGTTAACCTAAACAAAAAATGCATTGCCACACAAAACATCATGTTTTACATGACATGCAAAGTGATGTATATTGATATTCCCAATAGTTGATAAGCAGGAACTGTAATACACACAATGTATGTCGTCTCATGATGTAACTGTTACCTTTTATGCAGCCACCATTGTTCAAAAAATTTTTTTGTGGCAAATGAGGTAACAGAACCAACATAAGATCCCTTTACTAAGCACTGCATAGCCAATGGGACAAAATGGATACAGCAGAAACAAACTACTCTTTTCAAATGTTTCCACTTCAGAATATTTCTCTGCAAATCAAAAAAATGTCTCCTTATTGTTTTAATGAAATAACATCACTATGTATAGTGCCATGGCCAAACTAGAGGGGTACACAGAATATGCTTCATTAAATGCAGAATGAGGAAGGCTCCATGCAAAAGTTTGTTATATCATAAGTCATAATAGACAATTGATGGAACACTCATTAAACAATGTGAAAACTATAAAGCAGATCTGACAAATGCCAAAAACAAATTGTTGTTAGCAATCAATTATACACAGGACAAATACTTTAGAGGTCACCGAGATACATTTTTCAGCAATAAACGTGTTTGACCAAAAGTATTGGCCTTATCAGAATCATCATCTTCATGGAACAAAAAATTTCAACTTTTCAATGTTCATTTTAGAACAATTTTACAGACTTATGTCTGTGACAAAATTAAACATTTAAAGTAAAAATGTAAACCCAAATAAACATATTTTTCTCAAAACTTTTACAACTGACTCACTGTATGAACATGAATATGAACAAAAACTTATATTTAAATATTTGCAGCAACTATTACATCTGCTTTGCACAAGCTAGTGCTTTTGTTGTACTCTCCTCTCTTTGATATCCCACCATCTAGTTGTATGTAGGAGTTTTGAAGACTTGGGAACAAACAACTGAACTAGAAATATTTTTATAGTTAGCTTTAGACATTGTTTTCATTTGTGAAAGTGTTTGCATGTTAAATTATATCTGTTTGAAATCTAATAGAAATTTTCTTCAATGAGAAAACATAAGATAAGTTTAATTAGTTTTAGTTAGTATTCCAATTGTGATATGTTTTAAATAAAAACATCATTACAGTTACTGGTGATAATACTACATGTTTTCATTATTTGACTATCAATTTCATTTACACAAGAGCAAATGGGGATTACAGAATATTTCAAAAATAAACTAAATGGTGACCTTGACCTTGTAGTTGTTGCGACATTGGTGATTCGCCAAGTAGGAAATGTTCAGATTATTTTTCAAAAACACTTGTATGAAACATTATTGTCAAGATTATTGTTTTTTATAAAATACTTAAATGGCAACCATCATGCAGTGGAAACACTGATAATAATACGTACTAAAATTCTTACAGTAAGAGACATCATCTGTTAATTATATGTTATCTTTTGGCCACCAATTCACAGGTATTTTGCTTGTCTATCTGCCATATCAGCATTGTTGACAGCTATTAAACACCAACCCATGGAAATATTAGAGCATTAAGTCTATGGAAAACATCAAAATTGTAAAAAAATTTAATCAGAAAATTCAACATGTCATAGATTTTGAATAATTTGAGATCTGAAATTTGATAGGTTGTGTTAAAATAAAGAATGGTATGCAGTTCTACTTGCTGTCCATTCAGTGCATGGAATTGTTAGGATTCCACCTAATGTCACAAAGAAGTTTTTCATGAAATAGTGATTTACCAGATCTACAATAATCAATGTCAATATAACCTGTATTTGGGGTTGATTATCAATAATCATGCTTTCTGAAATAAATAGATATGTATTTCTTGATCAGCAAAGACTGCTAGACATTTAATGTTCTAAATGTCATATGGCAAAGAATAATCTACAGCTGCACGCTGCCGACTTCAAACTTGTTAAATATGATGATAAAATCTCACTCAACAGCATGAATTACTCATCGTGAACTTTTTATCACTTAAATATAAAAAAAGCTACTTAATATCAATTAAGCAATTATTGCTGTCACATTAAGCATGATGAACATGAATTGAAAATCTTCAAAACATCTATGAAAGGAACCTACTACAAGTCATAAATGAAATATATGCCCAAATATTTTACTTACGAGGTCTAGGAGGAGCCTTTTTTCTTTTCAGCTGACCTGTTTTTGACTTAATAATTGTTGGCCTTCTTAAATTCTTTACCTGATCTTCACTATTGTTTGTGCTGCTATTCTGTGAATCAAGTTTATATTCCTACAAATAAACAAAAGAAACTTGTTACAGTATATATTATTAAATGAACAATTATAAATCTAATTTCAGTAAAACATCCTTAGAATACAAATATATAAGTCACTTCTTTTTTGTAACAACTTCTGAAAAAAACTTCATATGAAACCTTAAGAAGCAATTTTCAGTTATAAGATAAAATAGCTTTGTAACATTGCAAAAACACATGAAAAATATGGAATACAATAATACTAAGACTTTATATAGTCAGTACTGGTAAAAATTTTGAAAATAAGTCCTTTATTAAATTTGATGTGTACTTCACAATTACAAAAATAGAAATATGAAAAGAAATGGATGATGGGTGATACTCTTAAGAGTTGAAAATGAACATGAATTAAGAAATACTATAATTTTGCATGTACTTTCCACTTTTCATACTCTATACTGTATATGCATTGCACATTTGAGTGATAACTAATAATCCAGATTTCGTTTTTGATGTTTATTTTTTATATTTAAGTATGTCATCTGAGAGTAAACTCACCTCATTTGCTTTTTCTAATCTTATATAGAAATGTTTAAAAATCTTTCTGATGCTCTTCATTTTCTTCACTGAAGATGTTCAATGTAATCAAATTGTAGATTTTCGTAACTGGTCAAATTAAAACAGTACCATGATTTTATAAGATTTTCACAACTAATATAGTCTGATAAGTTTCTCATCACCAGAACTTTGTAAAACTGATTTAAACATGCTTGATGATTTTAAGTGATGAACTTTATGTTTACTATAAAATAAACATGAACTCTCAATATACGAGCCAACAGCAGACTTGTTTATATGGCTACTCTGGCTTAGTTTTAAACCATAAGGAGTAAAATAATTTCATTTGGCATGATTTTAATTTGCTGAATAAATACATATGCTACTAGAGTATACTGTAAAAATTCTTGCTTATTCTACTCCTAAAATACTGAAAAAGATATGCACTTTAAAAACTTGTCCATTTCAAAACTCAATGAAGTGAGAAACCTGATTCAAAAAAGCTCATGATCTGGTTAAATGATCATTCAGAATAAAATTTTGAGAAAAATATGTTGCAGTGAAATACTCTAAACAATTTCACTCCCCAATTTCAGTACAATCATTATTATGCAGAATGGGCATATATATTTTTTAGTACTCTACATGACCTTAGGCCTAAATATAACATCTCGGCAAATGTACAATTTTACCAGTTAGTTGAAAAAGTTCTACACAACACTGGTCTACATTTCTATTAATAGTTGATATTTTGTCATGAGTGAACAAAAGAAAATGTTGTAGTTTTAACACACTTTCATATACATTAAAATATCAAAATGCTTTTGAACACTTACACATATTGTTGGTAAGTAACAATAAGTAAAGAACAATAATAAGTAGCCATGCTAAGTAGAATATTTTTATGTGTTATTCATCACAGATCAAAATATTTATCAGATAGTGAAGGACTAAAAAATACTAAAGTTGAATAGTGCCTGCCTATAAATCATTCAGTCAGCACATTAAATTCAAACCATAAATCTTGCATACCAATAATTTAACAATTTTAAGAAAAGTATTTGAAATATAGCAAAAAATGTTTTCAATATTTACACCTTACTTTTAGATCAAACTGAAACCCACATAACAACAATAAATGTAACAGTCATGTGCACACATCATCATAATTTAAATGTTCTATTTGGGAATGTTATTTACTAGTTTTATCATCCAAGACAGAATTGACATTCATAAGTTTCAAGATAACTAACTGTAAAAGAAATATTTTAAACATTTCACAATAAAACACATGAAATAATTTTTCATTTCAGAACACACAAGTCATTAACAAACAAAAACAATACAGTGTACAAATTTACAAACGTCTACTATAATACACAAACAAGAAGCAGTTAATATTGATATATATACACTTTAACGCAGTCAATTCTTTGAAATTCTTTTAAAAAATTAGTTGAATATACACATAATTTATGCTGTGTTTTCAGTACATTGTATTGTATACTTATATAAAAAGTAATCGTTTTCAAACCTAATGCACATTACAGTGTGCCTATAGTACACGTAATTCATTAGTTCTACATACATACAAACTCTTTTCTTTCTCTTTTAAGAGATTAATCAAAGTCTCTCAACTTAGAAACAACATCTATAGTTGTCTTGGTAGGCTATATCTGTGTAATGAAATGAAACGTTTACAGTAAAAAATATGCATTAATATTTATACAAATTCTAAGAAACATAATCCTTAGTTTCAGAATGCTCTTTTAACTTAATAGCACGATTTCTCTGTTTGTGTATTTTATTCACAACACAATATTGTACATATGTATTCCATTATGAGAAACAAGATGTATTGTATGCATTGTATCTCCTATATATCAGTTTAATGACAAAAGAATATTCTAGAAATCTATAACTGCAACATCTTGTTTTAGTTTTGATAAAGTGAAGATGAAATTTTCTGAGTTATTTTGCCCTTAGAAAATAGTTTGTATAATCTGTATGATCATAATAAAGATGTACTCTACACCAATTATTCTCAAACCGTGGATCAAGAGATGTCCAACTATGGTCTGGCATGGGTTAGGACAACTGTGACTACACTAAACTAATGAGTTATCAACTCAAGAGTCAGTCATATGACTACAAGTTTCACCTTGTAAGTGTGGTTTCATGTTGTTTTGTTCTTTGAAAGCGATATACACTGTAAAGAATATGACACCATATATGCTGAGCTTTATGTATAAATAGCATACGTTCAAATCACAAACGAGTTAAGTAAAAGTAAACAGAAATTAACAGGAGTTGAGCAGCTGTTTCAGTGGCACTTCTAATTCTGTGCAACAGACTACATCATGTAAATTACAGGTGACTATTACTAGTGCATTGGATACAGTGACAGATAAAATAAGGTAGCTTTCTAAACTTGTGACCACTGTTCAGCACATGAACGCTGTTTGTCAAGTCTACTCTTGGTATAGTATTTGAATAAACAATTCCTAGTAACTCAAAGCCTCTCCAATACCTTCACCTGAGCTAGTTGACGTAAATGTTAATATTTTAGGGCCACTCAAAACCATTACAGTATATATACATACAACAATTGTACGATTGTTATTTCATTCATATTATTTTTACATAATTTATGAAAATATTAAATATTGTGGGCAGTAATCAATATTTTACCTGAGTGTTGTCACAGATGATGTAGGACTTGAAAGTTGGAATAGATCTAGAAATAAAAATAAACATTGGTCATTAGAGGCTTTCATTCAAGTAATATCTTATTAAAATATATATATACAATTAATTTAAATCTTGCAAGGAATGCAGCTGATAAAAAATGCATTCTAATCATTTTGATTACAAAATGTAAGAGCAGCATATTTGGTTAAATTTAAAATTCTAATACATGTATTTGTAAGTAGCTTACTTTGATTAGAAGTTAATATTAGGTCATCAAGAAATTAATATTGCTTTATTATTTATTAAATGAAATAGTTCCTATTCATATCAATGATGCTTTTCCATCTTACAATCAGGTTGTTAATGCTCTGATTAAAGAAATCATTTGGCTTTGAAGCAAAAAACATGTTGATGTGCTCTTTAACACCTTCCACATTTGCATATGTTTTTCCATTAAGATGGTGTTGCAGCGAACGAAAATGATGGTAATCTAATGGTGCCACATCTGGAGAGTATGGTGGGTGGGGCAGGACTTCCCAACCCAACTCCATAATCTTGT